TGATGCTGGATGAGAAAGAGAATAAGAGAAGGTCATTCTGGAGGGGAAAAGGACTTCCATTTTATTTTATTTTATTTTATTTTTTTTAAAATTTTTTCAACGTTTATTTATTTTTGGGACAGAGAGAGACAGAGCATGAACGGGGGAGGGGCAGAGAGAGAGGGAGACACAGAATCGGAAACAGGCTCCAGGCTCTGAGCCATCAGCCCAGAGCCCGACGCGGGGCTCGAACTCACGGACGACGAGATCATGACCTGGCTGAAGTCGGACGCTTAACCGACTGCGCCACCCAGGCGCCCCAACATTCATTTATTTTTAAGGACAGAGACAAAGCGCCAGCAGGGGAGGGGCAGAGAGAGAGGGAGACCCAGAATCTGATGCAGGTTCTAGGCTCTGAGCTGTCAGCACAGAGCCCGACGTGGGACTCAAACTCCCGGACCGCGAGATCGGGACCTGGCTGAAGTCGGACGCTTAACCGACTGCGCCACCCAGGCGCCCCAGGACTTCCATTTTAGAGCTCCCTAGTTTGAGGGGCTGTGGCCATGCATGAGGCAGTATATTTGATACTGTTAATAAATCTCTTGATTAGAATTTAGTGGATACATACTCAGTGAAGAGTCTCTTGATCTCAAGTCCAAACCCTTAATATACTCAGAATTATGTTTTACTTAATCCATTCAAAATTTTGAAATATCTATGTTTATGAATTTTTGCCATAAGAAGATCATATAAATACTGTGTGGAGATCACTATGCCATGCTTTCAAGAAGTCATTAAAAAAATACTGATGGTTTTATAATTGCCTTTTTTTTTTTTAAGTTTATTTATTTTTGAGAGAGACTCAGAGTGAGCAGGGGAGGGGCAGAGAGAGAGAGGGAGGGAGAGTGTCAAGCGGACTCTGCACTGTCAACACGGAGCCTGATGTGGGGCTCGAACTCACAGACCATGAGATCATGACCTGAGCTGAAGCCAAGAGTCAGACGCTTAACCGACTGACCCACCAAGACATCCCTGTAATTGGCTTTTGTAACGGCTATAGACCTGACTTCTGGTGAAGGGATGTGTTTAATTCACCAAACTGCCTGCTGATGTATAGTCAGGTTATGCCTCCTTTTTTTTTTTTTTTTTTAAGGGGGGGGGGGGGGGGGGGGGGGGGGGAAGATGGGGAGGGAGGCTCCCTTCTACTTACTAGAAGTAGCCTCCAATCCAGCCCCCTAGACAGGCCCCGAGGGCATCCATTTTCGCAGCTCCCTCCCTCCAGTAGGTCTCTGACCTGCCTAATCCAGACCGGCGTTACTGATTCTCACCCGCGCTGGGCCCCGTTGTCAGGTTTTGGCAGAACGCGGAGCCTGAGCCTCTGTTATTTGGTCCGCGGTCTGGCCTCCGCCTTTCCTACGTCTTGGCTTCTGCAAAGCTCGAAGGCCATGCGAAGGCCTCTAGCCCGCAGCTGCCAGGGTCTTCCCCGCCAGCTGCACTTCCTGACTGTGGGAGTGCTCCTGCCTAGTCCTCACGGGCACCGCCATCTTCCCGAAAGGCTCGGTAGAAAACCGCAGGGCCAGTGCCGGCCTCTGAGGCATTCATCACAGCGCTGGTAGCCAACAAGACGGCAGGAAAAGGCAAGGTGACACCCCTAAAGCGATTTCAATTTCTTTTGGCAGCCCTCCTGCTGGCCGCTTGGACCCAGATCGCCAAGGTGGGGGTGGCCACTTCTGTGTTGAGCATCTGGGGGCGGACCTTGACTTCCAGGAACGTCGTGAAGGTTCCAGCTCCACCTGAAGCGTCCCTAACCACCATGGAGGTGGGGGAGCTTGAGAATGGGGGTCATTTCGGAAGGGGGTCCAGCCTGTGGTAGATGCGGTGGAGTATAGAGAAGTTCAGCGTCAAGTGGGTAGGGCTCTGCACGTGTCTCTGGAGTGAAGTGCCTGTGAGGCCAGTAAAGGGCCCTTCTGGGGATTTCTTTTGCTTCACTGGAGAATCTGGCCTTTAGTAATAGACCCAGAATGTATTATGCTAAGTGAAATAAGTGAATCAGAGAAAGACGAATACCATATGATTTCACTCATATGTGGAATGTAAGAAATAAAACATGATCATATGGGAAGGGGGGGGAGAGAAGAGAGGGAAACAAACCACAAGACTCTTAAAAAAATTTTTTTTAATGTTTATTTTTGAGAGAGAGAAAGAGACAGTGAACAGTGGAGAGGCAGAGAGAGAGAGAGAGAGAGAGAGAGAGAGAGAGAGAGGTAGACACAGAATCAGAAGCAGTCTCCAGGCTGTCAGCACAGAGCCAATGCAGGTCTCAGACTCACAAACTGTGAGATCATGACCTGAGCTGAAGTGTGATGCTCAACCGACTGAGCCACCCAAGCGTTCCCACAAGACTCTTAATGATAGAGAACAAACTGAGGGTTGATTGAAGGACGTGGGTGGGAGATGGGCTAGATGGGTGATGGGTGTTAAGGAGGGCACTTTTGATGAGCTCTAGGTGTTGTATGTAAGTGATGAATTGCTGAATTCTACTCATGAAACCAATATTGCACTGTATGATAACTAAAATAAATTTAAAAAGATGAAACTAAAAAACAAAAATAATGGCAGAGGGTCTGTTAGTGTTGGTTGTCAGTGTGAGTGATTCTGTTTGTGGGGCTCAGCGACCAAGAGCTGGAGTGGTAGGTATGTATCAGTGAATGTGCTTTCTTGTTCAGGATCACACTCCACTGTGAGGCTCAGACACAGGGAGGCCTGGGGTGAAGGGTGTTAGTGAACGGGTGTTTCTGGTTTGGATTTCGGACTTAACTTGGAGTCGGTTTTTGTTTTTGTTTTGGGAGGAAGCCATTTTATGTCTGGAGACATATGTACAGAAGAGGCAAGAGGCTGGAGCCTTGGAGACCCTGCATCCCTGGAGAGTAGGTAGGTTAAGGTTGAGGCTTAAATGTTGATTACTAGGAACAGATTTGATGATACATTCCTCCAGCTGATCCAAATCCATTTCACTCCTTCAAGCCCATATATTGCTCAAGGTACTCATGAAAGTCTTTTGTCTTGCAGCATTAACAATCTTGTCCTTATCTTCCTAACAAACAGTAATGAGGTAAGATCTAGTGAGGTGTTATAAGAGATGTGTTTTGTCCTTCTTGTCTCTGAGTTTATCCTACATTTTTTTCTTGAGGTTTCCTTTCAGGTTTGTTCTATACAAGTAAAAACATCTCTGTTAATTAGCCTGAGCTCTTATGTCCATGGAAAACCACAGCATGTTTAATCTCTGTGCTACCTTCACATGTGGAATGATCTGTATAACATAGATACCACTTAATTTCTAATTATAAACATATTTCCATAGTATAAAAAGGTTATATAATAGTGTCACATCAGGTGGGTGAACCAATGGCAAGTTTACTAGAGTCGTATTAAATGTATATATTACTTTAAATAGGCTTGACTTATATATTTCTACTTTTTTTATAATATGATTCTTTGCTTATCCAGATTCTCCTACCCACCACCTCTACAACGTGTTGTGTCTTTTTTCATGTGTGTCTCAGAAATTTTGGGTTATTCTTTTTCCTAGGTAGTTTATGCTTCGTTGCAGTTGCTAAGTAGTACCTTAAAAAAATTCCCTGCTTCTTGGGGCGCCTGGGTGGCTTAGTCGGTCAAGCATCCGACTTCAGCTCAGGTCATGATCTCACAGTTTGTGAGTTTGAGCCCCGCGTTGGGCTCTGTGCTGACAGCTCAGAGCCTGGAGCCTGCTTCGGAGTTTGTGTCTCCCTCTCTGTCTCTCTGCCCCTCCCCTGCTCATACTCTGTCTCTCTCAAAAGCAAATAAACATTAAAAATTAAAAAAAAAAAAAATTCCCTGCTTCTCAATGTTGTATTGTAAAAGAGCAATTGACTTGCTCTTGGTATTATTGAAAGAGAAAGTTTCAGTGAATTCCTTTACATTATTTATTTATTTATTTTTTATTTGAGAGTGAAAGAGGGCAAGCCAGGGAGAGTTGCAGAGAGAGAGAGAGAGAGAGAGAGAGAGAGAGAGGGAGAGGGAGAGAATGAGAATCTTAAACAGACTCCACAGGCATGGAGCCTGATGTGGGGCTTGATCCCACTACCCTTGGATCATGACCTGAACTGAAATCAAGACTTGGACACTCAACTGACTAAGCTACCCAGGCTCCCCACATTTACATTTTTTAAGTTGAGCAGTCTTATTATCTGCAAATAATTGTGGCTCAAGAATAAAGGGTGTGAACAAACCTGTTGTCTTTTTTTTTGTTTTGTTTTGTTTTGTTTTTTTTCAACGTTTATTTATTTTTGGGACAGAGAGAGACAGAGCATGAATGGGGGAGGGGCAGAGAGAGAGGGAGACACAGAATCGGAAACAGGCTCCAGGCTCCGAGCCATCAGCCCAGAGCCTGACGCGGGGCTCAAACTCACGGACCGCGAGATCGTGACCTGGCTGAAGTCGGACGCTTAACCGACTGTGCCACCCAGGCGCCCCACCTGTTGTCTTTTTAATAGTGCTTTTCCCCTTATCCATGTGCCTTGAATAAATCTTTCCAAGGGATGTGAAATTAAGTGAACTAATGTACATAAAAGTAGATAGCATATACCAGGATATAAATTTCTCCATGTATTGCCTTAGCTGCTTCTCACTAGTTTTGATATTTAAAATTTCTATCTCATTCAGTGTATTAGTGTTCCATTGCTGTATACCACAAACTTAGTGGTTTAAAACAATGCACATTGTCTCAGGGTTTCTAAATTTTTTTTTAATGTTTATTTTATTTTTGAGAGACAGAGAGACGGAGTGCAAGCCAGAAATGCTGACAGCTCAGAGCCTGGAGCCTGCTTTGGATTGTGTATCTCCCTCTCTCTCTCTGCCCTTTCCCTGCTGGTGCTTGATCTCACTTTCTCTCAAAAAAGAAAAAGATTTTATTTTTAAGTAATCTCTGCACCCAGCGTGGGGTTGCACTTACAATCCTGAGATCAAACATTTGATGCTCTACCCACTGTGCCAGCCAGGCACCCCTAAAGTATTGAGATTTTATGTTAGGGGACACCTATATGAGTTTTCTATTGGTTCTGTAATAAATTAACATAACCTTAGTGGCTTAAACAACGCAAGTTTATTACCCTACAGTTCTATGGATTATAAGTTCAACATGGATTTTCCTCTGCTAAAGTTAAGGATTTTCCTGTCAGTAGGAGTTCCTCTCTGTAGGCTCTAAGGGAGAATCTGTTTCGTTGCCTTTTCCAGCTTCCAGAGGCCGTCCCCGCTCCTTGCCTCCTGTCTCCCTTTCCCCTCATCTTCACAGCCAGCAATGGTGTGTGGATTTCTTGTCACATCACATCTCTCTGGATTCTTCTGCTTTTCACTTATGGGGACCCTTGTGATGACATTTGGCCCACCTGAATAATCCAGGAAATCTCCCTATTTTTGGGTTATCTGATTAGCAACTGTAATTTCATCAGCATCCTGAATCCCCCTTTGCCATGTGATGTAGCATGTTCACAGGTTCCAGAGATTAGAAAGTGGATATCTTCTGGTGGGCACGATTCTGCCTACCACAGCACCTGTGGTACCACTGACAAGGTGTGTGGCTCGGGGATATACTGCTTAAAGTGAATTTGCTTTTGAGTCCTTAGAATCAAGTGAAGTCAGGAGCAGGGAGCATTATTCCTGGGGACGTCATTAACATGACCTGTGAAATCTGTGACCAGAATCCGAGTGACAATCTAGAAGAATAAAAGGACAAAGATCTCAGTTCTGGCCATTTTCCAAGAGCAGAAGGAAAGGACCAAGGTCCAAGTGAGTTTTACAGATTTCTTTATCCCTCCTTTCTTTCCTGTTGTATTTGTGGAGGCTTATACAAATTGATTTGATTAGTGGGAAAAATACACATTGATAAAGGCCTGAATTTGTAGAAAACTAAATATTGACTATAATGTCAAAATCAAGGCAAACTTGGAATGGTGGAAGTGTAGGTCATAGAATCTGCTCAGAATTTTAAAAGTCAGAATATTAATTAAAAAAACAAAGACTCTGAATTATTTATGTTAAGCTACCCAGATTATCTCCAATATTTTTGGCAGCCATTTCCAGCAAGAGAAGCACTAAATGTTACGTGATTTGCAGTTTTGTACAGAGAAAGTAGATCCTTTACTCAGAGACATAAATATTTCCTGGCATTGAAATTTCAATAAATTTCTCGATGGCCCTACAGTGGGTAGTGGCTTCAATAGCAGCTTTCTGGTGTATGCATGAAGAGGCTTTCTGTGGTTGTTTTTCTATTTCCTGTGTGTGTGTGTGTCCATGCACGTGCATACACACACACATATGCACGTTTGTGCTTTCTTATTGGGGTATAGCATACACATAATAAAGTGAATTTTTATACATTTGTACACCTGGCCAGCATAAAGCATTTATTGAACCGGTGGTTGTTCCTTCTAGAGTTCCTTTAATACCTTCTGTTATCCCATCCTTTTCAAGGTATAAAACCTAGATTTATCGAGATGAATTAAGGTTTAAATGGCCTCTCAAACCATTTTGCTGAATTGGATTTTGAGTATAGAACTACCAGTAGAGTTTGTTTTTTTCTTTCTTTTTTTTTAAATTTTTAAAAAATGTTTTTATTTATTTTTGAGACAGAGAGAGACAGAGCATGAGCAGGGGAGGGGCAGAGAGAGAGGGAGACACAGAATCCAAAGCAGGCTCCAGGCTCTGAGCTGTCAGCACAGAGCCTGACACGGGGCTTGAAACCACAGACCATGAGATCATGACCTGAGCCGAAGTTGGACGCTTAAGCGACTGAGCCACCCAGGCGCCCCTTTTCTTTCTTTTTTAAAAGTGTATTTATTTATTTAGAGAGAGTGAGTGAGCGAGTGTGGAGGGGAGGTACAGAGAGAGAATCCCAAGCAGGCTCCACACTGTCAGCACAGAGCCCAATGTGGGGCTCAAACCCATGAACTGTGAGATCGCGACCTGGGCCGAAACCAAGACTTGGACACTTAACCGACTGAGCCACCTAGGTGCCCCTTTAATTTAGAAAACCTTCTGAATTATTGAGTAAATGGATGACTGAATTATAGTAGCAGGATGTCTATATAAGACTTCCCTCTCTTCCACAATATATAATGTAAATTCACATGTATAGATACAGCCTATACATTAGAAATGATTAGATTTCCACAGATCTCTTCCAAACTATCAAATAATCACCTCAGATGAAAGAAGAACTTACTGCGAGGCACCTGGGTGACTCAGTCAGTTGAGCGTCTGAGTCTTAAATTTCAGCTCAGGTCATAATCCCATAATCCCATAATCGTCGTAGGATCCAGCCCTGCATTGGGCTCCATGGTGAGTGTTGAGGCAGCTTAAGATTCTCTCCTCTGCCCCTCTCCCCTGCTCATGTGTGCTCTTTCTCAAATAACATAACAAAACATACCATCTAAAAAAAAAAGAATTTACTGCTGCAGGATCATTGTTATTTGAAGATGTAGCTGTGCAATTCACCTGGGAGGAGTGGGCAGCTCCTAGCAATGTGGCGGAAAGGACTGGTTCCCTGTGTCACTCAAGGTGTCCAATTGACACCTCGTCTTTCTCAATTGTGGACTGATTTTGGGGGGTATCCGAAGTGCTGAATAATGTAAGAGAGGTTGCGAAAGTTTTTCTGGAGGGCCAGGTAGTAAATACTGTAGGCCCTATGGGCTACTAACTGTCCTCTGTATCATATTCTCCTTTTTTCTTTATAACATTTAAAATGTAGAAACTCTTCTTAGTTACAGTCATGGGCCTTAGTCTGCTGACCCCTACATAAGACTTGAACTTTGTAAGCGGTAGATTCTCAGTCTCCTAGATGGATGGGGGAGTGTTCTCCCCACTCTTCAGGATAAGCCCTAGTCCAAGGTGTACTTGCACAATCTGTAAAAGGTATTATGTAACAATGTCTGCATATCGTGCCCAAATATATTTTTCCAAGTATTCTGTAATTTTTCCTAATAGGGTACCAAAATACCAGACCATGGAAATCTTCAAATGGAAGCTAGGAGATAAACCATAAATGGAAAAGGAAAACCATGCTTGGAGCTTTCCAGGTAAGTGAATGAGAAGCATCCAGGTAGAAGAGAAATAGAAGTAAATTCCTTGGTTCGTGAAGGCCTCACACCTTTGAAATACTGTGGAGGTGACTCATCTTCTAGTTTCTAAACTTTTGATGGTCTCTAAGGATATCTAAATGGAGTCTCTGGTTATTGCTTTCCTATGTTTTTTTTTTTTTTTTTTAATTTTTTTTTTTTCAACGTTTATTTATTTTTGGGACAGAGAGAGACAGAGCATGAATGGGGGAGGGGCAGAGAGAGAGGGAGACACAGAATCGGAAACAGGCTCCAGGCTCTGAGCCATCAGCCCAGAGCCTGACGCGGGGCTCGAACTCCCGGACCGTGAGATCGTGACCTGGCTGAAGTCGGACGCTTAACCGACTGGGCCACCCAGGCGCCCCATTGCTTTCCTATGTTATTCATCGCTTATGCATTTAGAGGAAAATACTTCTGTGTTCCCACCTCTGGTTTTGGTCCTGATTTACTTCATCTAGGGTCTTGATTTGTTTTGCTTAGATTTTTTTTCGTACTGAGGATTCTCAAATCTTTCCCTTTTTCGTTGCCAACCATAGGGCCATTGTATGTTCCTTCCTCTTCTCTTGCATTGGAAATCCAGTCTTCCATGCCTCTCTGCAAAGAATACTTCAGATTCATCGCTGTCTTCTGACTAGTGAACTTTCCTGCTTCATTGGATAATACTGATTTCCCTTCCTGACCTTCAACCCACTTTGAGTGCTGTGTTTCCATAACAACCTGGTCTTTTGATGTTTATGTATTTAGTTCCTCATTCTGGATGGGCGAATATGAGATAGAGCAAGTGTAGCAAAATGTTAACTGTAGAATCAGGGAGGTGGGCATATGGCTGTTCAGAGTATAATTCTTTCAACTTGTGTGTATGTTTGAAAATTTTTATAATGAAATGGTAAGGGAGGAGCTATAAATATTGTAATTTTCAGGATGAACTATAGCTCCCAAATGTACTGAAATAATGGAATTCACTTAAACAAAAAAACAAAACAAAACAAAGAAATTCACAATCTTAGGTTTCACCTGAAATCAAAACATAAAACTCATGGATACTTTGCTGATTTCCACATATATTTACTGGATCAGGTCTTTCTCTTGATTTATCTTAGTTGTTACTCTTGGTTTAGTTTCCCTAGTCTAAAAAATCCTAGTTATAACCCTGTTACCAACTATATGATATTTAAATCCCTCTGTGATCCAAAGACTCCAAGATACAATATTTTGCTTATATTTAGTTTTCTCAGGGTGCCTGGGTGGCTCAGTCAGCTGAGCATCCGACTTCCGGTCAGGTTGTGATCTCACAGGTCTTGAGTTCGAGCCCCACATTGGGCTGTGTGCTGACAGCTCAGAGCCTGGAGCCTGCTTCAGATTCTGTGTCTCCCTCTCTCTATGCCCCTCCCCCACTCATGCCATGTCTCTCTCTGTCTCTCAAAAATAAATAAACATTTTTAAAAAAATTAGTTTTCTCTCTATTCCTTGAATTCCAAGTTAGCTTCCTTTAAACCAGTCTCTACAAGTCGAAGATTAAGTGCCCCAGTTTCTTGATCTAGAATGAGGATCCCTTAATTGATGAATTCCAGATCTGCAACAACTAAGGTATAAATACAGAATTCAGGAAGAATCAGGAGTGTCATTGGCAAGAAGAGGGCTTGGGGAATGTAACAGGAGAAAGCCAGCTATTATAGTCTGTAGTTCCATTATTTAAGGGACTTGAAAGGAAAAAGTGACAGTTCAGCAGTGTTGTGCTAATGGATGCTTAGATGGTTTAGATGGTTCTCTGGCCTAATTTTATTTTTTACTTATGTATGTATGTATTTAATATTTATTTGGAGAGAGAGAGAGAGCACAAGTGGGAAGGGGGAGAGAGAGAGGGAGACAGAATCCCAAGCAGGCTCCGCACTGCCAGTGCAGAGGCCAAAGTGGGCCTCAAACCCATGACGGTGAGATCATGACTTGAGAAATCAAGAGTCTGAAGAGTCAGACGCCCCACCAACTTTTTGGTTTTAAAATTCACAGGATTTAAAAATTTTAAAAGACACACGGATGATCCTCTTCTTGTCCTTATATGAGAATAACCTCAGACAGAAAGTTAGAGCATTGACTACAGCAATCTTCCCCACATTGTAAGAGAAGGGCACTTTAGGGAAATTAACTTGGTAGCAGTATTACTGAATTAATAAGAGAGACAAGATTCGGGAGCAGGATGTCCACTGAAAGAAATTTTGCTTTCTGACCTGCCTCTTCCAGAATTTGTTCTAAGTAAATACCTATACCTGCTTATTTCCCTGGTCATGAGTCACTTCTCTTTTGCTCCTGGAAGGGCCTCCCTCATTCTCTGGACATTTCCTCTTTACAAAACCCTAAAAGTCAGAATGCATAAAGGCCTGAGTCATCATTTTCCTGGTTTTTAACTCTCCCAGAGAGACCTCACCTAGTCATTTCTCTTTAGGTAATATTTCTATATAGATAACACCCAAATTTGTCTTCCAGCCAAAATCTTCCTCCACATTCCTATCTCCAATTGAGTCTGTACTTAGATATCCAATAGCCATCTCAAAATGTTTGTGCCTCAAAATATAGACCTGGTTTTCCCCACATTCAAAACCTATCTTCCTGATGCTCCTCAACAGTACAGCCAGTACTTAGGCATTTAAGCCAAATGCCTAGGAAAACCCTGCGATTCCTCCCTTTTACTCACAGCCCACATTGAATTCAACGTTGAATGTTGTCTTTTCTTTCTCCTAAATGTATCCTGAGTTCATCCACTTGACATCTCCACTGTTGTTGCTCTTGACCTAGCCACCATTATCTCTTGGCTGCCTTACTACATTAACTTCCTGTTTCCTCTCTCTCCCACACTCTGCCTTCTCCCATCAGTATCTGTGTAACAGTCAGGAATCCTTTGGAAATGTAAATCGGAACATGATGCCACCTGCTCAAAACTCCCAGTGGCTTGTCACTGGTAATAGCGTCAGATTCTGATTCCTCCTGTCAGATCTACATGATCTAACTCCCATCTACCTTTTGAACATTAACTCTTCTTTCTCCCTGTATTGGGATTGTACTCAGGACCTACTGGCTACCTTTCTGTGTCTTGATCTGGCCCAAACCTCTGTCTCCAGGCCTTTGCACTGCCATTGTACTTGAACAAAACCTTCTGTAATTCTTTACATTCCTTATTCCTGGTTTCTTGGCTCAACTTTTATTTTCTCATTGCTGATTATCTATGTAAAGTTGATCAACTTCCATTCTTTTTCATATCCTTTGAACCACTTTTTGGTCTCTAGTTGTCTTATTTCTTTCCTTCCATTTTGTTCTCTTTTTGCCCACTGGAATGCAGAGAACGTTTCTCTTTAGTCTGTACCCCAGTGCTGTTTACAATACATGATACATAGTATACATTCAATAAATATTGGTAGAATGAATGGCTACGTCCCCTCATCATATTAGATCAGATGTCTCTCCAGCTTACCTGATCTTGTGTTAATGAGATACATTTCTGCTTCATCCTCTGTGCCCATTTTGCAAGGATCTATTCGAAGAGCACCAAAAAGTTTTACTAATTGGAAATTTTCTACCATTGATTCTGTTTCAACTGTTTTTGGTTTGGTTTGGTTTGGGTTTGTTTGTTTGTTTTTTTTTTGGTACGTTATGATTTTACTTCATTGTGTTTCTCCTCTTGTCCAAGAAAGAAATTTACGCTTAATGATTTCTTTCATGTGACAGTAGAATTGTCAGAGAGCTAGCCCAAACCATGGTATTTTAGAAGCAGTTATGTTCTGTAACATTATTGTGAAAGAATTCATTTTTTTCCCTAGAAGTTTGAGAAGTTGGTGATCATATGCAGTGGCCTTTGGAAATCCAAAACAAGCTAAAGAATATGGAAAGATGTACCCCAATGTTTATAGAAGCACTTTCAACAATAGCCAAATTCTGGAAAGAGCCTAAATGTCCATCAACTGATGAATGGATAAAGAATTTGTGGTTTATATACACAATGGAATACTACTTGGCAATGAGAAAGAATGAAATATGGCCTTTTGAGCAATGTGGATGGAACTGGAGAATGTTATGCTAAGTGAAATAAGTCATACAGAGAAGGACAGATTCCATATGTTTTCACTCCTATGTGGATCCTGAGAAACTTAACAGAAGACCATGGGGGAGGGGAAGGAAAAAAAAGTTAGAGAGGGAGGTAGCCAAAGCATAAGAGACTCTTAAAAACTGAGAATACACTGAGGGTTGATGGGGGGGGGGGGGGGAGGGTGGGTGATGGGCATTGAAGAGGTCACCTGTTGGGAGGAGCACTGGGTATTGTATGGAAACCAATTTGACAATAAATTTCATATTAAAAAAAACCATGGAAAGAGGTTATGAACACAGTTCATCTGGAAATATGTTTAATCTGTAAAGAAATCTTGTTACTTTAAGGCAAAGTCATGGTAGTTTTGACATACTGAACTCTAATTCAAAGTTAGTTAACCAGAATAAAAGCTGTGCAGTGAAGAATACCAATAAGTTTAATAGATAAATCATTTCCTCGTATTAAGTATGAAAAATGTTACACCGGAATTAAATGCAGTCAATACAGAAATACCATCAGCACCAATTGACAATTCATTACACATCAAACTGGAAAAGGAAAAGAAAGAAACATTATGAATGTATTGAATGTGGTAAAACCTTTATGAGAAGGTCTCTGCTCACTGGACATCAGAGAACTCATATAGAACAAAAGCCCCATGGATGCAGTGTATGTGGGAAAAATTTCTCCGGAAGTTTTAGCTCACTGCACATCAGAGAACTCATGCAGGAGAAACCGTGTAAACACCTTAAATGTGGTGAAGTATTCTGTAGGATACATCAGCGAACTGAAAGAAGAATGAAGCCCCATGGTTGCAGTGAGTGTGGGAAAGCTGTCTCCAGGAAGTCTTGCTCGGTACACATCAGGGATTTGACACCGGAAATTCTCCCTATGTAGGCAGTGGCGCTGGAAAATCCTGCTTTCAGAAGTCAAGTCTCGTGAGACGTCAAAGAACTCATACAGGAGAGAAACCTTATAAATGTAGTGGATGTGGGAAAGGCTATTTCACAAAGTCAGTACTCAGTAGACATCAGGGAATCCATACAGAGAGACACAATATGGATGCAGCGATTGTAGGAAAGCCTCTCACAAGTCATGCCTCATCAAACACAAGGCAAGTCACAGGAGAGAGACACGTGTAGATTTAGTCAAGGTGAAACATTGTTACTGTGGAAATCCCAGCTCATTGTCTATCACAGACCCCATACAAGAGGAAAACTCTGTTAAACAGTGACTGGAAGGCCTTCTGTGGTATTCCAGACATTAAACACGAGTGGGGATAGGAATATAGTTCTTGTAGGACAACCTGTTGTTAGATGTGCACTTTTAGGAGACAACAGAGAATCTGCACAGGAGAGAAACCTTATGGATCCTGTCAATGTGGTAGTGCCTTCAGTTACCAATTATGTTTTATTTTAGGTCACAGTAAACTCATAAGGAAAATTTGATACACTTATTATGGAAAAGCCTTTTAAAAGGTGAAAGATTTATACAGTCTGAAGAGAAACCAGAGTATTGGAAAAGTCTTTGAATAAAAGTTTTAGCTTTTTATGCAGTTGAAAACTTTCACTGAGAGTACCCTAATGAAGCACTGATAATGGAAAGATAAACGTCATTAAATATCAGTGGCTCTTAGAAGGTTGAATTGTAGTGAGCTTGACTTCCAAATCATCAATAAGTTCTCATAGGAAAAAAATTATAGGAAGACAGTTATATCAGGTTCTTAAGGTCACTTTCCCATTGGATTATTCTCAAAAAGGGCTGATAAAGCTCTTAAGAACTGCTATGCTTATGGTTATAGTTATTATAGTGAAAAGTTACAGATTGAATTAGCAAATGTAAAATGCATAGGGCAGAATCCAGGAGAAACCAGGTATATATTTCCAGTTGCCTTTTCTCAGTGGAATTGTATGGACAGTGCTTAATTCTTCCGCCACAATGTGACACCTCATATGGAATATTGCCAACCAGGGAAACTCACCTTTATCTCAGTGCCCAGGGTGTTTACTTGTGCTTATGTAGGAATGGAGTAACCATATGTCTGACCTGAACTCACACTCCACACTCCTCAAGGTCAACAGGTGAACAAAAACAGATGTTTACCAAAAACATTGCTAGCATAAACTACACCATGTGGCCCAAACCCCAAATATACAAAGATGCTCTTCTCAGGCAGTATACTCCAGGGGCTGAGAGGTTCTCTCCAAGGTGCTAGTCAAAGGTCAGTCCATTTGGGGGTGCCTGGGTGACTCAGTTGGTTAAGTGTCCGACTCTTGATTTCGACTCAGATCATGATCTCACAGTTTGTGGGATTGAGCCCCACGTCGGGCTCTGTGCTGACAGCATGGAGTCTGCTTGGGATTCTCTCTCTCTGTCTCTGTCTCTACCCCTCCCCTGCTCATGTGCTCATGCACTCTCTCTCCTAATAATAAACTTGGAAGAAAGCTCAGTCCTTTGGAATGTGCTGGGTTTGAACACCCAAAACCTGCCAAGTTACAGGGGTGAATAGGATAAGGTTTTCAGTTATATTCTGTGGCCTCGTGTCAGAGACAAGAAATGTCTGCGGATACGTTAAGTGTGTGGAATCTTTAGCCAAATGGCAGAGATCTCACAAAGGAGATAAACCTATGGTTGCAATGGATATTTGGAGGCTTGTCATAAGTCCACCCTCATTTTTCATCAGATAAATCTCCTAAATGTGTATTTTGAGATAGAATGCCTTGAGCTCTTCTTCATCGCTATGTGAATGACTCATAACTCATTTGAAGATGGTTTATAGACAGTATCACATTGTGCATATGACATCTAAATCCACTGTCTCTGCTATCATCTTGTCTCAGAAGCAAGTTGCTAGGCCAGCACATGCTGGGGGCGGGGAGAGTTTTACAGAAGAGTATGAATACCAAAAGTTGGGAATCATTGAGGGCTTTCTTGGAGTCAGCCTGCCAGAAAAAATGATTTTCAGGAAAGAAAAAAAAAAAAAAAGAAAAAAAAAGAAGATTCTTTGCCAAGAGCTGCCGTGGTTTCCTGCTTCAACAGTGCTTGGATAGTACCTGTGGCTTGCCTCCTCGCCTTTCTCAATAATATCCCTCTGAAAGCGGATGGTATTGGTTCTATGCTAGTGTTTCCCAAATTGACAAGTATTGCCACATTTGGCCTCTACTCCCATATTTGCTTGCCTCCAGAACACCTCCCCTCCCCTGTGATGTTCTTTCTTCATCATAAAGATCAGAAATAGAAGTTATCTCCTCTCCCCCCAAATTCCTTGTCTTTTAAAAAATTTATTCATTTTGAGACAGAGGGCGTGCGTGCACATGTGGGGGAGGGGCAGAGAGAAAGGGAGTCCCAAACAGGCTCCACACTGTCAGCACAGAGCTCAATGCGGGGATCGAACTCACGAATCATGAGATCATGACCTGAGTGAGATCAAGAGTCAGACGCTTAACCTACTGAGCCGCCCAGGCGCCCCTCCTTCCTCTCTTATACTAGCTACTCTTGTACTGTTACACATACATATATATATATACACATATATTTAACGTTTATTTATTTTTGAGAGAGAGAGAGAGAGACAGCACAAATGGGAGGGATATATAGAGAGACACAGAATCTGAAGCAGGCTACAGGCTCTGAGCTGTCAGCACAGAGCCTGAAGTGGGGCTTCAACCCATGAACTGTGAGGTCATGACTGAGCCGAAGTCGGATGCTTAACCAACTGAACTTAACCAACTGCCCCACTCTTGTACTATTTATCCAGTAGCCTGGCTATGTTAACTTTTTTTCTCCCCTAAACTATGTTTTTTAGACCAATTTTAGATTTACAGGAAAAAAAAATTGCATAGATAGAGTTCCCATATATCCCACATCCAGTTTCTCTGTTACTAACATCTAACATTAATGTGGTACATTTGTTACAATGAATGAATCAATACTGTTACATTATTGTTAACTAAAGTCCATACTATGTTTTTTTACCTAATGTCCCTTTCTGTTCTAGGATTCCATCTGGGATACCATATTACGTTTTGTTGTAATACCTCTTAGTCCCTTCTTGGCTATGACAGTCTCTCAGATGTTCCTTGCTTTTAATGACCATGACAGTTTTGAGAAGTGCTGGGCAGGTATTTTGTAAAATGTCCCTCTATTGGGATTGGCCTAATATTTTTTATTATTAGACAGGTGTTCTATGTTTTGGGGGAAGACCACAGAAGTTAAATATCATATGCCAAGGGGACATACTGTCAACTTCCTTGAACCTAGATGAGATGTATTTGTTAGGTTTCTCCATTATAAGGTCATTCTTCCCTACTTCCCCCTGTCCCTGACCCTTTGTGTACTATGCTTTTTGGAAAGCAATCACTGTGCATGATAGCCCACAATTCCAGAGTAGAGAGCTAATGCTTTATCTCCTTGAAGGTGAGGTATCTACATAAATTATTTGGAATTCTGCATAGGAGATTTACCTGTTCTACCTTATTTGTTTAAACATTTATATCAGTATGGATTCCTGGACATTTATTTTATACCTTGGGTTATAATCCAGTACTAGTTTATTTTGTTCCTCAGATTTTTTCCAGTTTTGGCCATTGAGATTGTTTTCAGTTGATTCCTGTGCCCCTTTAAAATACCCCCATCACTGTGGATTTGTTGTTGTCACTGAACACTCTCTATTTATCTATCTATTTATTTATTTTTGAACTACAAGGTGCTCTAGACTCAACTTATATATATCCTCAGTCCTCCAGTCAGTCATTTCTCCAAGGAACCCTGGTTCATTTTATTGGAGAATGGTATTAGAAACCAAGATCTGGGTCCCAGGTTCCATGCAGTTATTTTGAATTTTCTGTAAATGAGAAACCCTCCCTCTTCAAAGCCAGACACATAGCATCTTCAA